CTGTATATACAGTATATATATATATATATACAGTATTTACACACACATGTTTTTTGTGCTTAATTTCTGTTATTCTTGTCTCTTTACCACTAATGTGTTAGAGATGCTTGCAGACGTGYATTAAAGATAAATCTTTTTCATTTTTTTATTGAATCCACAAAGTTATGGTTTATAAAACATAATTAGGTAGGTTTCCAAGCAGAGTTGCTTTGTTGACTTTGTGTTTGGGAGTCTGTGGGTGTCAGGGGCTTTGTTAACTGAAGCAGTAAGGCTCTCTATAATAATCTTCTCTAAAAATGTAAAGTCCTAAAATAGACCTCAAATGGACCTTCCAACTTTCTTTTTTCCCCCTCTCCTCCCGTTTATGCCACAACGTCTTAGGACAGATTCCAGTCCTTTCATCCATCGCTCAAGTTTCTCACTCACCCTTGTTTCTTCCAGGGCCGACTCTGCCAAGATGACGCAGCCCATGAGAGGGGACCAGGTCCATCAGCCGGCTTCAGCCCGCAAGTCAGCTAGCCTGTCTTCGCCAAGTGCCGCTCGCAGGCTGTACCGCAATTTGTCTGGAAAGTTCCGCGTGGGCACCAATCCCCCCAGTCTAGAGGACAGTGTGGTGTCCGGACGAGGAGGAGACAAGGAGAGGCTGCGAAAAACCACCATAGTAAGTCAAAAAGAGTATGAGAAGGGGGGGGGGGGGGGGATAAGCACAGAAAACTTGTGGTCTATAAATGGTCAGGAAGGGCACATAGAGCAGACTGGTGGTAACAGCACACTACAACCTAAACAAAGGAATGCAGAAGCAAATGTTGCAGAGATGAATAGATCAACTTGATTTTATTTTTTTGACTGAAATATCTCAAACTATTAAGATTTCTTTGTGTGTCAGTTCCAGAGTAATGAAGCTTTGTTTGAGGCAGTGGAGCACCAAGAATTGGACTTGGTCCAGTTGCTTCTGTCCCAATACAGCCTTGAGGAGCTGGACCTCAACACTCCAAACAGTGAAGGCCTTCTGCCTCTTGATATTGCCATCATGACCAACAATGTACCCATGGCTAAGCTTCTACTGCGAGCTGGTGCCAAGGAAAGTCCCCACTGTGAGTACATAAGTTCTGAAACTTTGTGTAACGGTGAAAAACAAAAACCACTGAGTGCATGACTCTATATTTGTAGGCCTGCTGTGCAGTTGTAGCTGTTTAATAGCTTTTGAAGAAAAGTGATAAACTGCAGTTAAAGGAAGGGCAAGTCTATTCCTACATACTCATAGATCAGGGATGAGCAACACAGCACTGCACACACATATAGTAAAATGGTAATTTTAAAAATGTTTGCGTGATTTATTATTGGTTTAGTTATTAGTTAGTTATTATTAGTTTATTGAACTGATTTATTATTGGTTTAGTTATTAGTTAGTTATTATTAGTTTATTGAACCTGCATGCAGTGTAGTAACTTAACATTTTCATGTTCAAGTGTATGTATAACAATTGTACTCTTGTTTAATAATGTGAATACAAAATGTTTGACGCAAACCATAAAGAACACTTTAGCAAGCTGAAGTGCAACGCCATAAGACACCAAATGTGAACACTCCTTTATGGTTGTGGTTCTGGTAAAAAGTCCCTAATGTTTATGTACGTTCAACTTCAGTGAACTTCTATATTTAGCTTTGTGCAACGTGTTGTAGTGGTGACTTATATGAAGATACTTAATGGCAGGCCGCGTCACTAAGCAGACTAAATGCATAGGTTTGCCTTGAAATTATGTGAACAGTATGCATCCCCCCCMAAAAAAAATACGACATTTGTAATTTAATTTTTTAAGCTAAAAAAATGGGGTGGTGGGGCCCATTGGTGGGTCGGACAAAGTCATCTGTGAGCCACCAGTTGCCTGTCCCTGTCCTAGATATATGCCAGATGAACGCATGCCAAAAGCCTTAGGAAGATCAAATCATATTTATTTTCAAATTTAAAGTTCTAGCTACCACTTGAGCAAACACAGCAGCACACCCACCTGTCTTTTGCTACATTCATCTGTTTTTACACACTACACTAAGAGACACCCGTGTCTCTCTTTTGCCGCTTGCAGTGAAAACATATTAAAGGCGCTGAAGGGGTGGTAATCATGATGCAATATTCTTTGTAAGCACTTTTTATTTTCTATGATCTGTGAGCCTGCGTCGACTTCCTCTGTTAATGATTAGAACTCGCCAGTAAGGCTCCTAGGCTGTTTGTGTTTGTACTTGTAATACACATGCACACGCACGCACACACACACACACACACACACACACACACACACACACAC